TCTGTGACTAAATTGGATGTTCTCCATTTTTAATCATATATTTCTAATTGTATATGTTTGATGCTCTGCAAATAATTGATCTATTATGCCATTTTTAATGCCCTTAGGTGTTTCTAGCCTCTGATATTCAATTCAGTATTCATGGATTGATTCTGCTCTTTCTTAGGCACTGAAGATTAAGCAGGTTAGGGACAAGGGATGCATATGTAGGTTCATCCCATCTTTAGAAGGTCGTGCCAATCCAGCACGTTAGCATGTTACTCAGAATAAAAGCAAGTCTTATATATCCTGAAGTCATCATATTTTATTGGGACCTGCCTGATTATTGTTGTAAAGCTTTGAGACTGGTATACTAAAACCGAAGCAGGCTTCCTTTGTTCAATGTGAATAAGTGAGCTAAAATATGATGCCTAGTGTATGCCGAATGTGGTTTACATATATATAGCTCAAGGAGGTATCTAATCAAGACATAAGCGAAATTGCTATGAGAGAAAATAATATAAATGACATGTTTGAAAACAGGAGGAGGGTCACAATTCTAAACTTAACCACAAAATCTTGAAGATGATGAGTGTGGAAAACAGTTTTGATATAACAGTTCTTTAACTAGTTTAGCTTCCTGCATTATGTTTATGTAACTTGTATATTTTTTCCTGTTGATCAAGGGTTAGCAACCGGCTCCTGCACTACTTGTTAGTATAATAAAGTGTCTCAATGGGATGTCCCTTTTGACGCTTATGGCAACATGGCATTTATCCATTAAGAGGAAGCAAGCTGATATCTGTGTCTTGTCAATATCTTGCTCTCACTCGTCTGGATCTCTCCTTTGTGGTGATTAAGCTGTCCCAATTTATGCATAAACCTCCTGACGTACATTGGCAGGACACAAAAAGTGTTCTCCGGTACTTGCGTGGGACTAACTTTCATGGTCTACTGTTACAACCTCAGCGCTCTCTCTCTCTGCATGCTTATTCGGATGCTGATTGGGCCGGTGATCCGTCTACCTGTGTTAGTACCACTGGCTATCTGGTGTTCCTTGACTCTAATCCCATTTCCTGGCAAGTCACAAAACAAAAAGCAGTAGCTCGGAGTTCCACAGAGACTGAATATCGTGCCTCAGTGGCTGCTGCTTCTGAAATGGTTTGGGTTCGAAATGTTCTTCAAAAGCTTGGTGTTTCTAGTGTTCGTTCTCCTGCTCTGTTTTGTGATAATATTGGTGCCACTTACTTAAGCCTTAATCCGGCTTACACTCTTGAATGAAACACATCGCTATTGATTCACACTTTGTTCATGATCTAGTTGATCAGAGAATTCCTCATGTTTCTCACATTTCTTCTCACAACCAGCTTGCAGATGGCCTTACTAAGAGCCTGTTTGGTGTGACTTGTGAGAGCTTTTGCTTTTTGAGTATTGTGATGAGTGATGAGTTTAAATTTTTATTGAAGGGAAAATAGAGCTTTTGCTTTTAGAGATATGAAAAAGTGAGTGAAAAGTAAGTAAAAAAATGAATTTATGAAAAGTTTAGATTTGAAACTTTTGAACTTTTACTGTTTAAGAGTTTTTTGAGATTAAAAAAATATTTAAAAGTGTAAGTTTTTAAGAGATAAATTTAAATTCATGAAACGTGAATATTATCAAAAAGCTGAAGTTTCTAAGAGCTGATCCAAACAGGTCCTAAGGCTGTATCAACAGCTCATTTTTCCGGTCTCCATTCCGAGATTGGTGTTGCTGATGGCACCTCCATCTTGCAGGAGTGTGTTAAAGTCCTACATGATCTGCACTCAGTGCCACCGTGATTTTGGGATTTAATCAATCTGTAACTTGTGAGTTTATGATACTGTATGATATATATTGTCTCCATATCAGTTAAGATTATGTGTGAAATACCTCTGTAATCTGTGTATATTGTTTACAAGGATAGCAATAATAATATAGCAGTCTACCTCCTTTGCTTTTAGCCTATTAGAATACAGGACCATATCTAATTTATATATATATATATATATAAAAAGGAAAAAAATATTATAAATTAGTTAATTCTATATATATGTAGCCGCTTTTTTTCTTTTTGGAAAAAAAAAAATATGCATGAAAATTGAAATCCTTACTTGTGAATTCTATTTTTGATGAAAGGAGAAGGTCTAAAGATTTACTGGGGATAAAGAACTGTAGGGTTTCTCCGATTACTGGCAGCCCCCCATGGAACCGAGAGGGACCCTTCCGGAGTATGTAGGGTTCGTCCATTTGTATGTCCACACGGCCATGTCTAGGATAGCCATTGCCAAAACATAGAAAACGATGTCCCACATTTCGACTATAGATGTATTGAAACAAAAGCAGAAAGATAAAGACATATCATAACAAGAAGAGAGAGAATTAGTGCAGAAAATGTAAAGGAGATGAGTCCTCCTTGTATACGTTTGAGTATCGTAGTTTCGAATCGCTAGTCTAAAAAAACCAAGTAATCTAATTCGAAATAAACTGAATATAAAATTTTGATGTCAAAAGCTAAAAGCTGAAAACAACAACGTTATTAAAATACCCTAAACTAAATTTGATAGCGTTACAGAGTTCCTAGTATGATAGTCCGAATCTTCAGATGAGAAACAGAGGGTTTGTACATATCGTATATATGATTATGTGTTGAATATTAATTTACGTGACTGTTTGAGTAATTTAAAAGTTTTAGCATAAGATTTTCACGTAAGTCCCAAGGCATACTTTTTGTAATCTTAATAGTTTCTAATTAATCATGGTAAGGTCCAGATCATTGGAAAAGTTTTTTTTAAAGAAAATTATTAATACATTTTTTGATTTAATATAATTATCAACACTTATTAATTTAATTATTAAATTTTATAATTAATATTTTTTTATTTTAAATTTAAATTTAAAAATAATATTATTATAAAATATATTAAATAAAAAATTATACATTATATTTTTTTAAAACAATTAGAGCGGTCCTGTTGTCCTAGGGACAGTCGCTTATTGCACTCTCCAATCAACACGCGATTATTTATTGGGCCACGTCACGGGCAATGAAAGAGCAACCGGTTGGAGTATATTATACATATTGGTAGTTGGATCGTTGGTTAAAAGTAAATTGACAAAATTGGACCAATGTGGAAATTTGATTCAATCCATCCATTACAAGAAAGGTTACGAGTGCTATATGTTAATCCAAAATTTGAAATGATTTTAACTGAAATTATCTTTAACACAAATGGATTGGGTCATCCGATATAACTTGAACTTTTTGTTTATTTATCTTTTATTAAATTATTTAAAAATTAATTTTTAATTTTTAATTTTTAATTTTTTAATTTTAAAAATAAAAATAAATAAAATACTTAAACCTAATCTCTTATCAATTTCCCTTTCTCTCAACTTTTCCTCTTCTTCACTCTCGCTTTTCATTTCTTCATTTTAAGCTCTCTAATTCTTCTCCTTAGTGGCACTCACGTAAAAAATATGTGGTACATAATGAGTTATGTTATATGATATCGTAAAAAGAATTATTTTTTTAAAAATAAAAAGCAAGAATGTTTACAAAAAATCAAAACCCAATGGTTGAAATACTCTCATAATTATTAGAAGTACAAAGACAAGAACATCAAAATCCGTTCTTAGTTGCTAATTTATTTGTAATTAATAATTTGTTTCTAATTAATAAAAATCAGTTTCCATCCAATTTTTTCATGTATTTGGTTAGACATATTTTGGATTTACTTTTTAAATTTTAATATTAAATAAAACTATATATTTTTGTATAATGCCCTCCTAAATATTGAATAGATCTATATTTTTTGTATAATACTCTTATAAATATTGAATAGGCACTAGATATTAATATATATATATATATTGGATTTGTCTTTTGAACTCTAATCCTTCATGTCTCTTTTTTTAATTAAAGTTAATACTTTTATAAAATTCTGAATTTTAAATATTGTATAAGTATTTTATATTTAACATATATTTTAGTTTCACTGATATAATCACTAATTTTTTCCTTTTTTTTCTTGAGATTGCCAAAAAATTGAATTATGAAATGAAAATTAACACGTTTAATAAGTTTTCTAATTAAATAGTTAATTAGTAATAAAATTTTTTCACAAAATAAATAATTAGTGTTAGATTTTGTTAAAGAAAAATAAAAAAAAAATTTAATTTTAATTTTAATTTTTTAAAAGTTGAGTCCACTCGACTCAATCCGAGACCTGTGTGAGTGGGTCATGGTCAATTTCCTTAATTCAACACCCAAAATAACTCAATTTAAACAACTCGAAATTCGAAAGGACTCAATCCAAACCCATCAAATCCGAATTGTTTGGCGGGTTTAGTTAAAAAAAGAGAAAAAAAAAAAGAGAAGTCACGCAATCATTGGATCGTAACTTAGTCGGTGGTGAAGGCCCAAATGATGTTTTCTCTGAAATTTCTCTTTGTTAAAAGCCCGCTATTAAAAGTCGCCGGTTACCCATTAAAAGCAACGAGGCGTGGCCCAATAAATAAGCAGGTGTTGGTTGAAGGGTGCAGGAATCGATTGCCCCCTAGCACTGCTCAAACAATTATGAAGGTTGTTCAGATCATTCTTAATTTCTACGCAACTAGTGTCACCGCCATGCATGTGATGATAACAACTGTTAGCCTATAACCGAAATTTAAGGGTTGCAAACTTGCAATAGTAAACTGGAAAAGAAACAAAGGCAAGAAAGTAAATGTGAAAAACGAACTCGTGTTTCGAACATCTAATTATCACATGGTAACAGGAGTGCTTCCGAGTAAGTCAAGGTCGTAAAGACATCAATGTTTACTTGGAGTGAGAATGGGGCTGGAAAATTGCACCCTTCTCCCCCTTGTAGTTTTGTTGGAGGGACAGCAATTCGCCTCCCAATTTCAAAAACGTGTAAAGTCTTTTGTTGTT